CCACTATCAATGGTCTGATTCATGTGTTGGGCAATCGCTTGGATTACGACGAATGGGTGCATAAGTACGGCGCCCACGGCTGGGGTTACGCCGATGTGTTGCCGTACTTTCGTAAACTGGAGAACAATACCGACCACCGGTTGGTGGCCCAGAACCCCGGCTATCACGGCACCACTGGCCCCATATCTATAGTGTCGGATCCCAATCCGGCCCCACTATTGGTCCGCTTTCAAAAGGTGTACAACGACTTAGGCTACGAGACCCTTGATATTAACGGTGCGAAACAGTTGGGCACAGCGTTCACTCAAATGACTGTAAAGGATGGGTACCGATGCGGCACTGGTAATGGCTATCTGTCTCCCAACAAACACCCGTCTAATCTCAAAGTCCTGACTCAGGCTTTTGTCACTCGAATCCGTTTCGCACACAAAGACGGCGAGATCTCCGCCACTGGCGTTGAGTTTATCCGTCGCGACACCAAATTTAAAGTCAACGCCAATATTGAAGTCATTTTGAGCGCAGGTATGTTGTCATAGAAGGATCGCATAGAGTTTGTCACATTATTAATGCATGTGCTGATCAAGTTTGCACTTACCATAAGTAGTTTTTATTTGACAAATTATGAATAGTTGTTAATGTGTTTTAAATGTAAAACTTGTAGGTGTTTTCAATTCGCCGCAAATACTAATGCTGTCTGGAGTGGGACCCAAATCGCATCTCCAATCGCATGGCATACCGGTTGTGAAAGACCTGCCGGTGGGCAACAATCTTCAGGATCACCCGAAAGTGGTGTTCCAGACAGTGATCAAAGACCAAGACGCTCAGCCCAGAGACCCGGAGCTCGTTATACCCCAACTGTACGAGTTTGCGTCCAAACGCCGGGGCCCACTCGCCAGTTACTCGTGTCTCTACACTTTTTTCAACACCAAAAGCAACGCGATCACCCAATGGCCCAACATCGTGCTAGCTGATTTTGTTCAGAAAATGAAAAACAATTTGACCGAGATCTGTGCCAAGTATGGCGAACGCATGGATGAGTGGAAACAATACTATCGGCCATATCTGGGAAAGTATTACCTGCGCACAGACGCCAACCTCCGTAAGCCCCGGAGCTTCGGTACCGTACGGCTGGCGTCGGCCGATCCCTTCGCAAAACCACTTATCGATCCCAACTTTTTTGACGTTCAGCAAGACTTTAACGATTTGGTAGAGGCGGCTAAGTTCACCCTATACTTGTTACAGGAGTCACCCATAGCCAAGTACATCGAGTTCAATCACAATCCCATACCCGGATGCTCTCTTTGTCCCGACCGGCCGATGTACGCGTGCGACTCATATGTCCGCTGCTATATTAGACTTAATGGTGAGAAAGAGTTGCATCCGGTGGGCACTTGTCGTATGGGCGCCGTTGAGAGGCCCGATGTGGTGGTCGACCCCACGCTGAAGGTGAAGGGCGTGTGTCGGCTCCGGGTGTGCGACGCCTCCGTTATGCCCACCGTTATGAACGGCAACTCCAATACACCCTCTATTATGGTCGGCGAGAAGTGCGCGGATCTCATCAAAAAGGACTTGTATTCAAAGAAAGTCATGTCTTCTGGTGATGACGACCTCAAGACACCGCTCAAGCGTTTAGTTTTTTGAATCTATTGTATTGTTTTAATATTAATGTTTTTTAATTACTTGTTTTGTTTGACATTATGTGATATTTAAATTGAGTCGAGAATTTTGTGTTAATAATTTATTATATGATTTTTGATAAATAAAATTTTAATTTTCATACTCATATAATTACTAATTACAGTTAGCTGCAGGTGTTGGTAACTTACAAAATGTACACTATTAGATAATACAATGTGTACAATTTATTGTTCAATAAGAAATAATATTCATTTGGTATTCATCAACCTTTGCTATCATAGACGTTGACATTTTCTTTATCAAATAGAATAGCTGTTCCCTTCCGACCCCTTTAGTTAGGCTGCAACCATGACTTGGACTTTGATGGCATTACATTGTCAAGTATTCAACAACTTCTTATGAATTGTATTGTTTTTTTTTTTGGTTTACATAAAGATAAAATTAAGAGTACAGTTGACATCATATACAAATAAATTTGTTGTACATTTTATAATTCATGAACCCATCTATGATTAGGATTTATTTGTAACATAGATATTTTTTACAGACTGTAAATACTTGAAATTTCGTGCGTTTATAGAGATTACACTTTGGTTATTTATTTTTTTTGTGTGTAAAATTACCTGAGCTGGGAACACCGGGATGTTTTTATAGTACACAAAAACTATTGAACGATTTTATCATGCAACATAACAGGTAAATACGTACCAAAACGTAAATGTTTGAAAATGTTCATTCATCATTTACAATTCATGACAATTAAAAACATAATTTGACATTATTTTCATAACAAATTATTTAATATAAATAATTATAAAAAATAAGAGCCGATAAGTCCGGTAGCAATAGCTCCCCACATGTGTGTCCCTTAAATAACACAAGGAATCAAAATGATTTATTAATGAAAATACCAGGATCGTGTTATTGCTAATGTTTGGTACTCCAATCAAAAGGCACAATGTGTCTTTTATTAATAATTAATTAAGTTTTATTATTGCAAATTTTAAAATAAATCTTTATATTTTAGCATTATATAACTTACCATGGTATAAATAAAATATTACACTGGCACAAATCTGTAATAAATTAATCTTGTTGTTTATACTTTATATCAGGATATGAACTTCAAAAAGCATGTGTTTGTTACAGATCTGCCCGCACTGGCCATCCCTTTATGGAAAGATATACCACTGTTTGATTGGGATTACAAGACAGTGCCCCAAAAGTACGGACTGGCATTAAAGGAGCCTGGTGTGTTTGGCGAACGCCGTGGTAAGGTTATTGGTGGCACTTCCACTATCAATGGTCTGATTCATGTGTTGGGCAATCGCTTGGATTACGACGAATGGGTGCATAAGTACGGCGCCCACGGCTGGGGTTACGCCGATGTGTTGCCGTACTTTCGTAAACTGGAGAACAACACCGACCACCGGTTGGTGGCCCAGAACCCCGGCTATCACGGCACCACTGGTCCCATATCTATAGTGTCGGACCCCAATCCGGCCCCACTATTGGTCCGCTTTCAAAAGGTGTACAACGACTTGGGCTACGAGACGCTTGATATTAACGGTGCGAAACAGTTGGGCACAGCATTCACGCAAATGACTGTTAAGGATGGGTATCGATGCGGCACTGGTAATGGCTATCTGTCTCCGAACAAACACCCGTCTAATCTCAAAGTCCTGACTCAGGCTTTTGTCACGAGAATACGTTTCGCACACAAAGACGGCGAGATCTCCGCCACTGGCGTTGAGTTTATCCGTCGCGACACCAAATTTAAAGTGAACGCCAATATTGAAGTCATTTTGAGCGCAGGTATGTTGTCATAGAAGGATCGCATAGAGTTTGTCACATTATTAATGCATGTGCTGATCAAGTTTTCATTTACCATAAGTAGTTTTTATTTGACAAATTATGAATAGTTGTTAATGTGTTTTAAATGTAAAACTTGTAGGTGTTTTCAATTCGCCGCAAATACTAATGCTGTCAGGAGTGGGACCCAAATCGCATCTCCAATCGCATGGCATACCGGTTGTGAAAGACCTGCCGGTGGGCAACAATCTTCAGGATCACCCGAAAGTGGTCTTCCAGACAGTGATCAAAGACCAAGACGCTCAGCCCCGAGACCCGGAGCTCGTTATACCCCAACTGTACGAGTTTGCGTCCAAACGCCGGGGCCCACTCGCCAGTTACTCGTGTCTCTACACTTTTTTCAACACCAAAAGCAACGCCATCACCCAATGGCCTAACATCGTGCTAGCTGATTTTGTTCAGAAAATGAAAAACAATTTGACCGAGATCTGTGCCAAGTATGGCGAACGCATGGATGAGTGGAAACAATACTATCGGCCATATCTGGGAAAGTATTACTTGCGCACAGACGCCAACCTCCGTAAGCCCCGGAGCTTCGGTACCGTACGGCTGGCGTCGGCCGATCCCTTCGCAAAGCCACTTATCGATCCCAACTTTTTTGACGTCCAGCAAGACTTTAACGATTTGGTAGAGGCGGCTAAGTTCACCCTATACTTGTTGCAGGAGTCACCCATAGCCAAGTACATCGAGTTCAATCACAATCCCATACCCGGTTGCTCTCTTTGTCCCGACCGGCCGATGTACGCGTGCGACTCATATGTCCGCTGCTATATTAGACTTAATGGCGAGAAAGAGTTGCATCCGGTCGGCACTTGTCGTATGGGCGCCGTTGAGAGGCCCGATGTGGTGGTCGACCCGACGTTGAAGGTGAAGGGCGTGTGTCGGCTCCGGGTGTGCGACGCCTCCGTTATGCCCACTGTTATGAACGGCAACTCCAATACACCCTCTATTATGGTCGGCGAGAAGTGCGCGGATCTCATCAAAAAGGACTTGTATTCAAAGAAAGTCATGTCTTCTGGTGATGACGACCTTAAGACACCGCTCAAGCGTTTAGTCTTTTGAATCTATTGTATTGTTTTAATATTAATGTTTTTTAATTACTTGTTTTGTTTGACATTATGTGATATTTAAATTGAGTCGAGAATTTTGTGTTAATAATTTATTATATGATTTTTGATAAATAAAATTTTAATTTTCATACTCATGTAATTACTAATTACAGTTAGCTGCAGGTGTATGTGTTGGTAACTTACAAAATGTACACTATTAGATAATACAATGTGTACAATTTATTGTTCGATAAGAAATAATATTCATTTGGTATTCATCAACCTTTGCTATCATAGACTTTGACATTTTCTTTACCAAATAGAATAGGTGTCCCCTTCCGACCCCTTTAGTTAGGCTGCAACCATCACTTGGACTTTGATGGCATTACATTGTCAACTATTCAACAACTTCTTATGAATTGTATTGTTTTTTTGGTTTACATAAAGATAAAATTAAGAGTACAGTTGACATCATATAAAAATAAATTTGCTGCACATTTTATAATTCATGAACCCATCCATGATTAGGATTTATTTGTAACATAGATATTTTTTACAGACTGTAAATACTTGAAATTTCGTGCGTTTATAGAGATTACACTTTGGTTATTTATTTTTTTGTGTGTAAAATTACCTGAGCTGGGAACACCGGGATGGTTTTATAGTACACAAAAACTACTGAACGATTTTATCATTCAACATAACAGGTAAATACGTAAATACCAAAACGTAAGTGTTTGAAAATGTTCATTCATCATTTACAATTCATGACAATTAAAAACATAATTTGACATTATTTTCATAACAAATTATTTAATATAAATAATTATGAAAAATAAGAGCCGATAAGTCCGGTAGCAATAGCTCCCCACATGTGTGTCCCTTACATAACACAAGGAATCAAAATGATTTATTAATGAAAATACCAGGATCGTGTTATTGCTAATGTTTGGTACTCCAATCAAAAGGCACAATGTGTCTCTTATTAATAATTAATTAAGTTTTATTATTGCAAATTTAAAAATAAATCTATATATTTTAGCATTATATAACTTACCATGGTATAAATAAAATATTACACTGGCACAAATCTGTAATAAATTAATCTTGTTGTTTATACTTTATATCAGGATATGAACTTCAAAAAGCATGTGTTTGTAATAATATTATGA